GTTGGCAAAAAATACCCTCATCACCCACAAATACTTAAATATCAGCTTCACAAATACTCCCCTGATAACACTTTCCCTCTCGCACACCGCATATTTGTGTGTTCGTCTCGAGCACAGGCGGCTATTTTCTGGGGGGGGGACAAATTTTCAGCATTCCCACCTTGCAGTCAAAGACAGGGGCCAATTTAAAACTTTTTTGGGGGGGATCGTGGATGTGTATTGGCCGGTTTTCAACCTTTTCCGAGGACATGTCTGTGCTCCCTGTTGGCCAGTTCAGTTTAGCCTTCGTGTCCCTCCTGCTTTCATGAAGCATATAATTTAAAGGTTTTTGGCTGAACATATCCCTTAAAGAGCATCTGAGGTAAATGCAGTTTGCGTCTAACTTTAAATGGAGACAGGAAGAGATAAATCATTTAGAAGTAAGTTGTTTTTCCTCAGGCTTGGCTCTGGAGAATGCAACTTTTGCTTTTCTTCTGCTTTGTTTTGCTTTTCTATATTATAGTAAAATCACAGAAAAGTGATACCCAGCTCAGAATGCTGCACGGATGGTTTTCCAGCGTGCACAGTTGCAGCATTTTTACGCACATACACGCCCAAATACTGGAAGATTTCTTCCAAATCTTGCAGTACTATTGTATACTCTTACAGTAGGAATCTGCAGTTCATGCAACAGATACATATTTTGTGAATGATGCATAGAATTCGTATTTCCTGGTTTTCTGAATGCTTGAGAGAGTTAAAGATGGCATCTCACTGAGGTGAACAAGAGGTTCTGAATGGGCTGCTGATGGATGAATAAGTGAAAATCTCCTGGATGCCCACAGGCTCCTTTTGTTCAGTGCTTTGCATCACGTAGCAGTGCTCACTCTCACTGGGTGACAGTGAGGAATGCTGAGTGTTGCCACAGTGGATGGATGCACAGATTTGATTCAGGGTAGATTTTTACACCTTCATGATGCTAGCCTCCTATTTACGCTGCTGGTTTATATCAGCTAATTATTTGCTTCATTCGAAACACGCGTGTTGCCAACAGGGAAGTTGCCCTCTGGTTGACATACTATGCAAAGTCAACACCCGGTTGGAGGATCTTTCTCACCTGTTTTCTGTAATATTTAAATTTTATTAATGCCATTATCCATAGATAGAGCTATAGATCCAGTATCTAACGAGAACAAAAAGAGGGAATCCAAGGTCTAGGTGTTTTATCATGGCCATATGGCACCAATTCCTCCTTTCCAAAGAAACCTAGGTTGTCAGTGTTGGGTTATTTAAAAGTCTTGATCAGATATGTTATATCCAAAATATTGGAGGCGGATCAACTTTAAATACCCGCCTAATGTTAGCTCTGTTTGAAAATCAACAATTACCTTTCTGTTGCCTCCCATGCAGATGTAAAAAGTCAGTGTCAGGGGAGAGATTTGCAACAAGATCTATGTAAATCATTGCCAAGGTCTGGCAGGGACTTGTTTTGTTTTTGGTGGTTGGAACTGCGGCAGGTCCTGTATATTGATCGCAAGTTCCCAAAACTCACACCCTGTTCACACATGTTTAGTTGTCTTCTTTAAAAACCTGACCCGAGTTTGCTGGAAGAGCGATTTACCCTCCAGGACTTTGCGGCAGCAAACTGTGAGCAACTGCAATATGACTCCTTTTATAGAAAATAGAAATAAAAAAACTAGTTCAACGAGTCATAAATAACCACATCATCCAGTTTTAAATGATGTTTCATTTGTAAACGGACGGATTTAGGACATAATTCAGATTGACTGGGTGCTGTTGATCACGAACGCCACCGTTTGATTGATAGCGTGCATGTATGACCTCGACTAAAGTTGTTTGTGATGATGATTGGCTTCCTGAACACTTCAAAGAAACAGTTGTGGAGTTCATTGCGTTACATAACTCTGAATGTACAGCTCATCATCCATCATCTGCTAGCTTAAATGTAAATAAATAAACTGTGAGTGGTAGTTTAAAAAGTGGATTTTTTTCAAGCTTTAATAAAACGCTGGGTTTAGAGGAAAGAAAACCATTTTAAAGGACTTTTTAGCACAGCCTGATTACTCCTTGTTTGGACAGACGACGGTTTTTTGGCGCATACGGACACCGTGCAGACACAGACCAGACAGCATCTGGCCCACAAACAAACAAATGAGTGTTTACCGGCGCAGTATTTCCATAGTGTCACAGGCTTATTTATGTACACATCAGGCAGATTTCAGTGGAAATTTCCCAGTGGCCCCGGCGTTTGCCAACTATTTGTGTCACAGGACGTCATGTGTGTAAATTTTGTCTGTTTAGTTTTAAAGGCAGCGGTTTCTGCCAAGTAGTGTGATTTGTTTGAGGATGGATTCCAACTGGGCTGATAAAACTCATAAAGCACAGACAGCGTTACAGTGTTTGAAGACATCAACTGAATGTGCTTAAATTAGTCGTTCAGCGGCGAACGATTGGTATTTGGATGCCTTTCAAAGATTCTTGCCCCTTTGTGACATTTGTGGCCGTGGTTTTGCTGCGAAAAGTCGTGATTGGCTTTAAGTAAAAAAAAAACACAAAAGCACACAAAATGGGGAAAAAACTACACCTACATCGTATTCGGTATCAAAGCCAACTGATGATGTCATAGCCAGTATTATCAGGACATTTTCCAGGGCTGGTAAGAAGGAATGGACGGAGGAGAGGGAGTCGATGTTTTCCCGTTCACTGTGGAGGTTGACATCAACGCAAGCAAATGAAAAGAAATGTTTCCCCAAAATGATAATATGGGAAAAAAATGTTAAAAAGAGCTTTTGACAGCTGTTTGAAAACAGTGCCACAAAGTTATTTGGGTCACTATATCATAGAGCAGTGATATCACAAGTCAGTAGCTACAGTATTAACAACCACACACAAGTTTAAGCGCTCTGCTTCTCAGACGTTGTTCTGAGCATCTGCGTGACCCGTTTCCTGCTTTTCTGTCAAGTCAAAGTCAAATTTATTTATATAGCACATTTAAAACGAAAACCGTTGACCAAGGTGCTGTACAATTAAGATAATTAAAAGAAATAAAAACATAGGGAGACATGATAAGAGTTAAGAAAAAGAATCATAAAATTAGAAGATTTGAGTAAGAAATAAGATAAAAGTAATACAAACTCATTCTGATTTAAAAGCCAAGGAATAAAAGTGTCTTTTTAGATGGGTTTTAAAAGTGTCCAGTTTTGGGGAGGTCCTGGTGTGAAGGGGCAGTTTGTTCCACAGTTTTGAATCAGTTACAGCAAAGGCCGGATCTCCCCTGTGCTTTAATCTGGACCTCGGGACAGCCAGGAGCAATTGATCCGCAGACCTCAGTGATCTTGCAGGAGTGTAGCAATTTAAAAGATCAGAAATGTATCAGGGTGCTGTGAAAATCTACACTTTTAAATGCTATTGGATAAATAGAAAGGTGTGAGATCTAAAAATACTTACATGTCTGCAGAATGTGCATCAAGTACAAGTATCAAGTTAAAAATATGACACAGGCCGTTCACACGACCATGGCTGCACAAAACTCCGGTTTTTAGTCTTATTAAAAATGGATTGTGTCAGTAATTTCAAATGAAATCAGCAGTTGGTACCTACACACCGCCTGGGATGTGGTGGCAGCAGGCAGACCTCTCTCTGCTCCGATTTGCCTCTACATCGCTTTTATCGGACCACATGGCAACTGACTTAGACATAAATGTCTTTGTGCCCCAGGATGGAAAACACAAGCTGTCGGCTGGTGCAACCCAGTCACGACGCCACGTTTTGTGTTTCACGTTGCAGTTTGTGAGTCCGATCGGTATTGCACAGACACATAACAGTAAACTTTCTGTGTTGCCAAATTATGGCTGAACTGGCTGCTTCCGTGAGGTCCAGCTTCAGCAAATGAATCTGTAAACACAAACACCTCTTAATCTATAAGAGTGAAAACTAATCGTTTGCCACCGAAGTAGAGCAAAGTGAAGATGTTGGTGACAACATGAAATAATCAGGCGCTGTTTGTTCCTGCAGGTTTGTGAGCTTGTTCGCTTCCTAATAGAGAACTGCAGCACCCTCCTGGGGGACGTCACATCACTCTTCAGAACCTTCAGCCAGAAGAGCAGCAGCAGCGACCATGGATCTGGTAAGAACTGAGATTTAGGCCAGACAATAAAGAAAGGACAGAATATCAGTAGGAATTTAATTTAAAAACAGTTAATTAGGATGTACAGGCTTTTTCTTAACATTTTACGATTTTGTGATCCAGTTTAGTTGTATAAGCTTGTAGGAAAAAACTGTTAAGAATGGCTGAGACAGTGACAAAAAAGCCAAGAGGTATAGAAAATACTGCTCTCTAATAAAGTGCTTAGTATTGAGACTTGATTCCTACATTGTTAAAGAGTCTGATCCCATAAAAAAAACAAACAGGCTGCAACTGTAATGGAAACATTTACAGATTTTGCAATTTGGGTTTCTTTTGCTTTCAGTTTTCTGACTTAATAAATGCAAACTGAAACCACACAGCCAGAGCTATTACAGGGAGAGGTGTGGCATTAAAAAAATCTTGAATTGAGTCTACTTCATTGACGCATAAGATGGTAAAATTCCACAATACTCTGCACGCTCGCCCCTACCATCAACTGAAACTGAAAAAGCCACTAATGTTGTTGCACATGTAGTTGTATAACCTGCTGGTAAAAAAAGAAAGAAAAGCCTGTTAAACCTTATTTTGGGGGCAAAACCACCAAACATTTTAAGCGTTACCATCTAAGATTTAACTGGTTATTCTGAAAATGTATTTTAACCCAAAATAAATGCCTGGAGTTGATGACTCTCTTGTGGCAAAGCTTTGTTCTAGGAGGGTTTTAGCACAGCTAGTCCTGTGAAAAAACATAACAAAAGAAAAACAGATGCACATGGAGACGATGTTCTTGTGTCAAATTTGTTCTAAAGGTCAAGTGTGTATGTTTTGTGTGTGTGGGATAAAGGATCCTTTATTTATTATCTGAAAAAGTACTGATAAAGCCTCACTGTGTTGCATCAAGGTGGTTTGGGACTGACTAGCTTGCTCTGTGTGGGTGCAACTGAATTGCCCAGGAGCTTTAAGTCATGTTGAGTGGGGTCAACAAATTGACCTGCAGTAATTTCAATGATTGCCAGGATCACATGATTAAGATAGCACTGAATATCCTCATTCATGCTGTTAGCTCTTCCTCATGCTGTAAGTAACCACCAGGGGTCAAAGAGCACATAGCAGAGATATGCTTTGTCCTCTGTTCTCCTCATGTGCACCAGTGAACTGTGACTTTGTTCATTCAGCTCAGGAAATGCTCTCAGTTAATTGAATCTTTTTTTTGTCCTCTAGCAATGGCAACCAATCAGTTAAAGCGACTCTTTACAGTGAAAAATGGCACTGTTGCTAATTGCTAATAAAGTGAACCATGTTTTCTCCTTTTCTTCCCAGATGTGTCGTCCTTCCAGATGAACGACTCGTCTTACGACAGTCTGGAGAACGAGCTGAACGATGATCCCGAGTCTCCCTTCCAGGAACAGCTTCCGCTTCGCGACAAAGACAAGCCGGACAGCTGCAGCCGTGACTCTGTCATCACGCTCAGTGATGGCGACCCCGAACCTGACCCCGATTCTAACCTTTTGCTGCAGCTCCCGCCTCTGGCCAGACCCAGTAGGTTCAGTCCCGTGGTTCGACAGCCTCGCATACGCCACGCCAACGGCTCGTCGCAGGGTCCTAGGAGACTGAGGAGGAGCTCAGAACCGGCCTTAGCCCTGGCTAGCATGCCGAGTTCAAGCATGGTGTTGGCTCATGCTGATAATCGCCACCCGTCAGTGAGGAAGGCGAGCTACGATGCTGCCATGGAGGGGGAAGCAGATGTGGATGAGGTTTTTCTTGAACAGGGGCTGAACGGGCTGCAGCTGAAAGAGGAGGGAGAGGATGGCTGTGAGAAGAGAGGAGTCAAAATCCAGAACAGCGGGCGGAGGAAGACGAAGCATGCCCCTCCACCGCCACTGCGACTGGATGCCAGTTGTTCCAGTCTGTCTTCACCGGCAACCTCACCAACCGGCTCCTCCCTCAGCTCCTTAGACTCTGCTTTCTCACAGTACTCCACTGACTACGCCACAAATGTGCCACTTCCGTTAAATGAACCCCTTCCTCTCTCCCCCCTTTTTCCTGGACGCCCACAGCAGTCCTCAAGGAGCTCTCCCCCTCAGAGAGAAGCGCTGGCTCATTGGCCACAAGCCACCCAACCCCCTCGAACCTGCCAAAGTGCTTCCCACTCTCATGGCCTCCACCCTAACACGTGGCTTAAAAGGGACCGGTGCCTGACGCTAAGGCAGCCCGATAGTGGACACACTGAGGAGGACCTGCCCGTGGTTAACGGGAAATCCTTCTCAACCACTAACTGCTTCTCTGTCAGTGCCCAGGAGGCCATGGTGACAAATCAAGACTGCAGACATAGGTCAAGCAGCCCTCCATCTTACCAGCAGGCTCTGCTGCAGCTGCAGCGCAGCCACTCTCCTTTTTACGGTGCGACAGAGAAGCCTCTGACAGTCAAAGATCTGAGACAGCTCCATGACCAGACCTCTCCTAACAAACTCAAACCAAACCCAGGAGCTGAGATCGCACAGAGGCTGGCTGAAGGTGGCTGCGTGCAGCCCCCAAAAGGTGTTTTCTTTGGACAGAGTGCCACCACTCTGGTGCTCCAAAGACAAAAGTCCCACTCTCTAACTCCTGCCATGGACATCCACAGAGGGAGGAAGACCCTTCCTCGCCGAGCATCTGAGCCTGCTAAGGTCAATGTGAACTCTAACCGTGGCCCCAGCCTTATCTTAGACAGACTTCCTGCTTCTAAAGCCCGGCCCCAAGACGGCAGAGCGTCAGATAACCACGCCAAGCCGCGCCTCTGCTTGTCGCCCTCTGCCACCAGGGCTGTAAGGGACTACTTTTCCTCACAAGGTCAAGAGGATGTGGACGCCTGCCTGCAGAGGAGTCATGAGGTCGCGCTAGCAATTGTGCAGGGTAAGAAGGAGTGGCAGAACAGGCGGTGCAGTGACCCGCGGCTGGAGGACTTTGAGCAACTTTTTTTTGCAGAAGAATCGTATGTGTAAAAAGGAACTTTGGAAAGACAAACTGTACAGGGGAGACTGACTTTCATGTGATATTGTAACTTGTACACAACTGTCTTTTTATTGTATTATTTTTCATATACTCCTTTAACCTGTTGCTGACTACTGTAATGGTACATCAGCGGTTTAAGATTTTTATGAGGTACAGATGCAGTGTCAGTGTAGCGTCTCGAACACCAAAAATCTGGTTTCTCTGGACAAAATGTTTCTCTCACCGCGTCCTTGTGCACCTTCCAGATCTATGGTTGTTTCTTTTTCAGCATGTGATGAAAGTCTGGAGAGCTTGTCAGCAGTAAGAAAAAGAAACGACAAAGAAATCCTTTTTTTCATGTTTGGGAAGCTTTCAAAATGTTTAGAAAGCAAGCAGAGCATCCATTACAGCTGATGGGAAACGAAGGCCGTGACAGTACAAACAGTAACATTAAAAACTTGAGCAACATTCGTGCCGCTCGTGACCGATCGCAACCATGAAGTGAACTAATTCTTTTCCAGTGACTGAAGTGTTTGTCTGAGTCAGTGAGTCGGTGGGGGCAGTTTTTGTGTTCGTATAAGCATCCTGCAGACACACAGCACAGCGTCGTCCTCAGTAAGTCTGGTTAATTTCTCTGACCTGGAAGGAGAAGATATCTGCGTGTGTGTGTGTGTGTGTGTGTGTGTGTGTGTGTGTGTAAAAGAAAGCATTGCTGATTGTCAGCGTGCCGCTGAAAGAGAAATCGCATTTAGTTTTGCTTTCAAAGCACTTAATTATCCTCATCAGGACCCTTTGGGTATCGCAAGGAGACACCTTGTTGAGCAAGTGCATGTTGAGTTGGATGTGCCAGTTTGTGTGTTTTGTCCATACATGTATGATCTTTTTGTTCCAGCGCTGCAGTGTTGACTCCATAGTGACACTTAACAGTAAATGGCCTTATTCCACTGTCTATTACCGTGATGAAAAGTATGTAAATACATACCCACAGATAATGTTAGCTATTGTTAGTTTGCACCAGTAATAAACAGTGTTATCTCTTACATAGCTTCTTCACAGGACCACACACACAGAAGTAAGGCCATTGTCATGTGCTGCCATTTCAAATGATCTCATAGAGTACTTTGTCCTGTATTATTATTAATATTATTATCTCCTTTACAGAACTGTGTTCAGCCTGTATAGTTCTCCATATTTATGATGCAGATATATATATATATGTATAAATCTCTATATAAATATATTATCTTGTTGTTTCGTATGTTGTGTGTGGTGTGAGGAAATCAAATGTGTATTTTTGTACATGCCAATTCTGCTGCTGCTGTCTTTATAGAAAGAGTATTTGCTACCAAATGCACCCTTTGTATATTGTGTACATCTGAATTCCAGCAGGAATTCACAAGAACCAAAATATAATTGATTTCAATAAATGTTGCTCTCGTGAAACTACTTTGCCAGTCAAATGTGAAATTTGTTTACAGGGGTGGTTTCGCGTGACAGTTTTGTGGCTATCACCAGGGTGGGATACAGGATGAGGATCATCATTAACATTTATTGCAAACAAATGAACAGCGTGTGGACACACTCCACCCTTTGATGGCTCTGCTCGGAAACCGAGGCCAGTGTGCTGTAAGGTACACCTTGCTGTAATGGGTTGGATTCACTTTTGCCTTCACAACATCCTTAATTGTTTGTGTAGCTTTAACAAGCTGCTTGGAAACATCCCCCAGAGATTTTGGTACATCACACAATTACTGAAGATTTGTCTGCTGCACCGCCGTGATCTCCTGATCTGGTGACAGTGGAGGCATTTAAGTGCAGTGAACTCCAAGTAAACTAGTTTGGTTCAGGCTCAGATCATCACAATCACCAGCCTGAACTGTTGATACAAGGCAGGATGGATCCATGCTTTCATGCTGTTCCTGCCAAATTCTGACACTATCATCCTTATGTTGCAACAGAAATCAAGACTCATCAGACCAGGCAACATTTATTTTCCAATCTTCTGTTGTTGCTGCACACATCTCTCGGCTGACTGTAGATCAAGAGGTACAGCAGATCGGTTGGAAGTTTAACAGTTTGATCCCTGGCTGCGGCACACTGCATGCAAGACTTCTTGTGCAAAATACTGAACCCCAAGTTGCTCTCTAATGCATCAAGTGTTAGAGAGAAAGCTCTTAGAAAAAGCATAGAAAAACATGCTAGCAGGGATCTGTGTGAATGGGTGAATCAGCCCATTTACCACAGCTGAACAGGTGTGTCTAATAAAGTGGCAGGTGAGTGTAAGCAATCCAGAACTGCACCAGAATTTAAAATGTCTTCAAATTTCCTGAAATCCAGCTTGGTAGTCATTACTAATCTTACTACAACACAGGCGAGCATTAAAAAAAGTGTAAGTGTAAATATCCAAATATAAACTAAGGACTGTATGTAAAATATGTCTCTGTCCTGAGACCTAGTGGAACTGAAATCTGATTAATAAATTCCAAAATATGACAAAAGTGATGTTTAAAAACACTGGTCTATAAAGAGCTAATTACAGCTACATTTAAAGCTAAAAAAATAACACTTCTATCCATATTTTAATAAGTCAGCTTGTAAAGGAGGTCAGCTAATCAGAGCGCTACTCAAAAGTACAGCTTAACAAAGCAAGAACATAAGAAAACAATCTGGCCTAATGAGTACGGTTGAATAGTCCAAAAAATTTACCTCATATCGTGTTTAGCATTTAGTTTAAAAAGGTACAATTCCCTAAAGCCAACACTTATTCCAGCTGACCCAGAGTCTAAACTGATTCATGATTCTTCATGCATGACAACACCTTGACAAGAAACGGATCGTAAGGCAGCGTAATGTTCACAGGCTATTTTCAAAAATCAAAACATATCAGTGTGCTGTGGCACGAAGTGGAAAGTTTTATTAACGTTTCCACGATCTCCACCACTTTATCAGTTTTGGTGACAAAAGTTTTGCTGGGGCATATTTACTGATCTTCAGAAGGTGAATCACTATGAATTATGGGATGGCAGTATCTTCATTTCCTTGATAAAGTATGGTGTGATGTATCCTGTGCTAAAGACGGTTTAACAAATCAGTGAAAAAGTAGTGAAAACCAAATGCACTCCTCATCATTTAGAATAAAGTGTTGTGTGACGAAATGTGTTGAAACAAATTACCAAACAAGCTGCGCGTGTGCTGTGAAACTCTCATGACTGCAGCAAAAAGGAAATTAAATCTGGCAACGGTGCGGGAGAGGGAGAAACTTTAGACCTGCACGTCTGATTAATGTGAGCGAGGAGAGAGTATATGAATATCACCAAACTTGTTTCGAGTGTGTGGTTGTGGATACGGCCATCACAGCAACCGTGACGTCACCTACTGGTTAGTGAAGTCCCTTTGTGAAGGCTGGAGCTGAGCGACTTTGCGGGGGGTGATTCTGACTGAGGAACTAAAGAACACTGCACGCTCAAGGTCGACGTCTTTTGACTTGCTGGAGGTTTTCATTAGAGTTCAAACTCATTACGAGCATCTTAAAACCAAAGATAAAGGGAACAAGTGTCCATGTTTCCATTCCTCTATTGGGTTTTCTCTTACATGTTTTCCAAGTTTTGATCTTTTCCTTTATCACTCCATGAGTTTTTCTTCTCCTTGGACATCTCTGAATCGGTTTGATAACTTGAAATTAAGTTTTTTTTATGAACAATCCCTAGCTACATTATTATATAATCAAGGCTCACAAATCATGGTGGGATTCTTACAAAAAATCCCCAGTATGATTCCTACACAGCGGCAGAGGAAGAATTAAGTGGGGCTTTGTGATGGTTTCTCTAACCCTTGTTTATGAGTTTTTGTAAAAACCTTCAACACCGGCAGCCACGGTTGACTCATATATTTACAAGAAAACTTTGTAAGACGTCAACACCAAAAGAAATATAGACAGAATCATCAAAACCTTTCACATCTGTACACTTATGGGCCACATGTTTTCCACTAATGCATGATGTGGAGATATACAGGCACAAGCTGATGTTGCTAGGGAGACAGGTTGCACAGCAGGTTGGGAGAATTAGTCAAAACACAGCTTTGTCGGACAAACAGAGAGGTTCAGCTCAGTGTTAGAGGAACTACAGGCAAAAACGGGTTTTCTTACTATGAGTTCTTCAAGAACTCATGAGTGGCTGATCTCTCTCAGCCATATCTGACAACCAGCAGGCACCCTAACACCTGCTGGCCTCTTGATTTTTGCAAACTTCTGTTATGGGGGTAACAGAGCAAAATAGAGGAACATGTTCAGAGCAGCAAAATCTTCTAAAGATATAATAAATCAAGTTGTTTGATGCTGTGCAAAAGTCTTGAGCGACCCCTCACTGTCTTTATATGTCAGTAGAAAAATGAGAAATGGGTGCATTTATAATGTTGAGGTCCAATGTGGAATTCATTGTGTGTTTTTCTATCCAGGTATGCTTTTACTGCACTGGCGTTGTGTCTGGGATCATTGTCGCACTGAAAGTGAAGCCTTTACCAACCAGATGCTTCCAGCTTTTATTGCACGGATCAAAATCTGACAGCAATTTTCTGTGTTTATAATTCAAACTGATCGAGTAGTATTTGAAATTGCCTTTGTTCTTGTTTTTTCCTGCTGCTGCTTTGTATTTTTATGCAATGCTGTTGTTCTCTATAATGGATCGGTCTACAAACTTTTAAGGGCAAGAATGCAGGTATTCTTGAGGTTCGTACTCTATTTTAGGTCTCTTGCTAGTTTTACAGGTGCAGTTTGCGCTTCCAGACCTTAAGTTGCTCCCGTAGCAACAGAAAGATTTGCTTTTATTTTCAGAAGGATGATAAAGGTTGTTTAACAGCCGCTTGGCTTCTCCATGAGATTCCTCAGCCAACGCCGAACTCGATGCACAGTGAGGTCACACTTGATCCCAGTCATGAATTTCAGACAAATCAGCAATCAGTATGCTTTCCCTCCCTTTGCTATACTGTTGACCCACTCTGAAAAGCATGCAACTCCCTGGGCAGTAACCCTGGTGTTATTCCCACATATTGTTTTTCTGACACACATTCTCCAGTTTTGGTGAAGCAGTAACGCTGCAGCAGGCGTGAGTGAACTCCCATTCGCTAAGACCCGCTAGACCCTGAATGTGATGTTGATTAGTTTTCTAAAGGCAAAATACAGGATCACAACACAACTGCACTAACACAGCAATACAACTGTAGAAACCTTCACAATGTTTTATAGAAGCTGCTGTAAAGAACCAAGCATGTTATGGCATTGTTTCTCCCTAGCTGAAAATCATAAAATAAGATTGTGTGATGGTTTATGGGGCTAGGTAGATGTACACAAGCACAGGAAAACATTTTTGTTTTACATTTGTACATATAAATACAGCAAATTATAGGAGTAGCTTAGAAGAATGTAAGACCTCCGACAAAGCTTAGTTACATAATAGGAGAGAAGATTTATGGGGCTGAAAAAATGTGGTCAAGAGAGCCTGGTAAAAACACCTGGTAAGAAGTCAGTGAGGGAAAAGACTGGATATGTGAAGGCATTTGAGCATATTAATGTGTATTCCCACTGAAATACTGTACGCAAAGCTATTTCTCAAACTTAATATTTCATGCGGTCAGTTTTAATGACATTAGCCATTTTCTACATGTTGCTGTGTGCTCAGCTAGCTAATGAGCTTGATTGTATCATATTTGACTCAAGCTGTATATAAAAAATATACTTAGTCTCCAAAAACCGTAAAGCAAGAGGGAAGATTCAAGGGTTAACTATGATAGGGTTAAAGTTGGAGTTTTCAGTGGCAAGAAGGTGGCTTTCCTTTTACCATTGACAAGAAGCGTGATGCAAAGGTGACAAATGTTGGTGTGATTATTTGAAAATAGAAGAAATATAAAATCATGTTGGTCTGGAGCTCCAGGCAAAATGTTGCCTCGTGGGGTAAGGACTTGGAGGGCTATGAGAAAGGTGGTGGATTGCTCCAAAACTACATGG